ATTGGGCTGTTCTTTCCACCTGTTGTCTATGTTCCCCATCAGTAAAATGGGTACCTGGGTGTTAGTCGACTGGTGTGGGTCGCATCCTGGGACACTGACCTAAGGAGGCCTGGTCACAGACCGGGCCGCGGGGGCGTTGACCCCCGGAACTCTCTCCAGATAAACTCTCCAGATAACAGTGGTTCCCCTGACATGGACTTGGAACCTTGCCTAATGACAGCGGTTCTCCTTGCATGGACATGGAGCCGAGCCTAATGACAGTGGTTCTTCTGATTTTTATTTGCCCATTATTATGAAATATTCGAGTCTATATATTCTAAATAAACTGCTGAAATAAAGACTCTTTTCTAAAATTGAATTACGGTCGTAGTTACTAACTACGAACGTAAAAGCTGATTCAACAAATATGTTCTCTCTGTTCTCCTCTGGGCAAAAATTGCAGCCGTATTAGTCGTTTTTGCCTGAGAATGAATTTATGTCCAGCAGTCTGAGGTCTTGTGTCGTCCGTCTCGCAGACTGACTGATGTGTCAGCTCAATCTGATGACAAGTTTTTCTTAATGTAATTATGATCCACTGTATTTATGATAAGTAAGTAAGTTTATTCAGGTATACACAAATACGGTTACATAGATTATCATACAAAGCAGTATATGTGCAGAGAACCTGGGATAACCCAAAAAAAGTCAGTGACTTATTTCCATTATAATATAAAGGTGATACTATTTTATTATTATTCTATGAAGGAGATAATAACATCTTATAAGAACATAAGAAAGAAGGAACACTGCAACAGGCCTACTGACCCATGTGGAGCAGGTCCATGTGACCCCCCCCCGTGGATTAGCCCAATGACCCCCCCCCGGATTAGCCCAATGACCCCTACCCCCGATTAGCCCAATGACCCACCCAGTCTGGTCACCTTCACTCAAGGAAGGAACACTGAACCAGACCCAGCAACACAACCTAGTCAGGTCCAACTCACACCCACCCACACCCACTCATGTATTTATCTAACCTATTTTTAAAACTACACAACGTTTTAGCCTGAATAACTGTACTCGGGAGTTTGTTCCACTCATCCACGACTCTATTACCAAACCAGTGCTTTCCTATATCCTTCCTGAATCTGAAATTTTCCAACTTGAAACCATTGCTGCGAGTCCTGTCTTGGCTGGAAATTTTCAGCACTCTATTTACATACCCTTTATTTATTCCTGTTTCCAATTATACACCTCGATCATATCCCCCCTAATTCTACGCCTGTCGACACGAGGGTCATTAAGACTACTACACAAGGGTCATTAAGACTACTACACGAGGGTCATTAAGTCTATCTACAATACGAAGGTCATTACTAGGAATAAGGTAAAATTACACGTGTGTTAGCTAAAAAAATTAAAAAAATCATTCCCCTCCCTTTTTATAGCTACATTCATCAGACACCTTTTGGCACTCTTCTTGAACTGGTTCATGCTATGACTGACTTTGACATGTGCAGGCAGTCTGTTCCATTCCTTTATTGCTGTACAATAAAAGGTGTTTGAAGCCTGGCCACTGTATCTAAAGTTAAGTCGCTAACGAAGATAATGGTTACAACCATAACCCTAATTTTTAAAGTGGTGGAGGGGTAAGCCAGCGGAAGCTCTCGGGTCAGTATATGACTGATACCTGAGTCAGGGAACACTTGTCCTGTTACCTAACAGACCTTACCTAACTAAACCTAAGTCGTGGCTTCGTTCCTTTGCTCTTTCCTCCGTTATATTCATTATATGGTGGGTGAGTACTATTTTTTGCTTTGCTTCAGTTATATAAAAAGTTTATTCTCAGATACATCAAGTTTATTTTTGTTTAGATAAATTGAAAGTCGTATATATATATATATATATATATATATATATATATATATATATATATATATATATATATATATATATATATATATATATATATATATATATATATATATATATATATATTAGTTATGACGTGAGTATATTAGTAATGACTTAATTATTTCCTAGTTAAGACCTGATTCTCAGTGCTGATGTGATTATTTCTTAATTAAAACCTGAGAGCCACATACATAACATAAGGACAGTATTCTAAGTTAAGAGCAGTCACGTTATTTATATCTATCTTCCTGATCTTCCTTCCTCTATCTCTCTCTCTCTCTCTCTCTTCTCTCCTCTCCTCTCTCTCTCTCTCTCTCTCTCTATCTATCTATCTATCTATCTATCTTCCCTCTTCCATTTTTCCCTTCCAGGTTTCCTTTTCTCACTGTTTTCTTCTTTTTATCTTCCTCATCATCCCTCCCTTTCTTCCTTCCTCCCTACCCACCACCATCCGTCCCTCCCTACCCACCACCATCCGTCCCTCCCTACCCACCACCATCCGTCCCTCCCTACCCACCACCATCCGTCCCTCCCTACCCACCACCATCCGCCCTCCCTACCCACCACCATCCGTCCCTCCCTACCCACCACCATCCGTCCCTCCCTACCCACCACCATCCGTCCCTCCCTACCCACCACCATCCGTCCCTCCCTACCCACCACCATCCGTCCCTCTCTACCCACCGCTATCCGTCCCTTCCTACCCACCACCATCCGTCCCTCCTACCCACCACCATCCGTCCCTCCCTACCCACCACCATCCGTCCCTCCCTACCCACCACCATCCGTCCCTCCCTACCCACCACCATCTGTCCCTCCTACCCACACCATCCGTCCCTCCCTACCCACCACCATCCATCCCTCCCTACCCACCACCATCCGTCCCTCCCTACCCACCACCATCTGTCCCCTCCCTACCCACCACCATCCGTCCCTCCCTACCCACCACCATCCGTCCCTCCCACCCACCACCATCCGTCCCTCCAACCACCACCATCCGTCCCTCTCTACCACCACCATCCGTCTCTCCCTACCTCACCACAATCCATCCCTCCCTACCCACCAGGACCAGTCCCTCCCTACCCACCACCATCCATCCCTCCCTACCCACCACCATCCATCCCTCCCTACCCACCACCATCCGTCCCTCCCTACCAGCCACCATCCATCCCTCCCTACCCACCACCATCCGTCCCTCCCTACCCCACAATCGGTCCCTCCCTACCCACCACCACCGTCCTCCCTACCCACCACAATCGGTCCCTCCCTACCCACCACCATCCGTCCTCCCCTACCCACCACCATCCGTCCCTCCCTACCCACCACCATCCGTCCCTCCCTACCCACCACCATCCGTCCCTCCCTACCCACCACCATCCGTCCCTCCCTACCCACCACCATCTGTCCCTCCCTACCCACCACCATCCGTCCCTCCTACCCACCACCATCCATCCCTCCCTACCCCCACCATCCGTCCCTCCCACCCACACACCATCCGTCCCTCCCTACCCACCACCATCCGTCCCTCCCTACCCACCACCATCCGTCCCTCCCTACCCACCACCATCCGTCCCTCCCTACCCACCACCATCTGTCCCTCTCTACCCACCACCATCCGTCTCTCCCTACCCACCACAATCCATCCCTCCCTACCCACCAGGACCCGTCCCTCCCTACCCACCACCATCCATCCCTCCCTACCCACCACCATCCATCCCTCCCTACCCACCACCATCCGTCCCCCTACCAGCCACCATCCATCCCTCCCTACCCACCACCATCCGTCCCTCCCTACCCACCACAATCGGTCCCTCCCTACCCACCACCATCCGTCCCTCCCTACCCACCACAATCGGTCCCTCCCTACCCACCACCATCCGTCCCTCCCTACCCACCACCATCCGTCCCTCCCTACCCACCACCATCCGTCCCTGCCTACCCACCACCATCCGTCCTCCCTACCCACCACCATCCGTCCCTCCCTACCCACCACCATCCGTCCTCCCTACCCACCACCATTCGTCCCTCCCTACCCACCAACATCCGTCCCTCCCTACCCACCACCATCCGTCCCTCCCTACCCACCACCATCAGTCCCTCCCTACCCACCACCATCCATCCCTCCCTACCACCACCATCCGTCCCTTCCCTACCACCACCATCCATCTCTCCCTACCCACCACCATCCGTCCCTCCCTACCCACCACCATCCATCCCTCCCTACCCACCACCATCCGTCCCTCCCTACCACCACCATCCATCCCTCCCTCCCACCACCATCCGTCCCTCCCTACCCACCACCATCCGTCCCTCCTACCCACCACCATCCGTCCCTCTCTACCCACCACCATCCGTCTCTCCCTAGCCACCACCATCCGTCCCTCCCTACCCACCAGGACCCGTCCCTCCCTACCCACCACCATCCATCCCTCCCTACCCACCACCATCCATCCCTCCCTACCCACCACCATCCATCCCTCCCTACCCACCACAATCCGTCCCTCCCTACCCACCACCATCCGTCCCTCCCTACCCACCACAATCGGTCCCTCCTACCCACCACCATCCGTCCTTCCCTACCCACCACCATCTGTCCCTCCCTACCCACCACCATCCATCCCTCCCTACCCATCACCATCCGTCCCTCCCTACCCACCACCATCCATCTCTCCCTACCCACCACCATCCGTCCCTCCCTCCCACCAACATCCGTCCCTCCCTACCCACCACCATCCGTCCCTCCCTACCCACCACCATCAGTCCCTCCCTACCCACCACCATCCATCCCTCCCTACCCACCACCATCCATCCCTCCCTACCCACCACCATCCATCCCTCCCTACCCACCACCATCCATCCCTCCCTACCCACCACCATCTGTCCCTCCTACCCACCACCATCCGTCCCTCCATACCCACCAGGACCCGTCCCTCCCTACCCACCACCATCCGTCTCTCCATACCCACCAGGACCCGTCCCTCCCTACCCACCACCATCCGTCCCTCCCTACCCACCACCATCCATCCCTCCCTACCCACCACCATCCATCCCTCCCAACCCACCACCATCCGTCCCTCCACCACCCCTCTCACTCTGCCCCTACTCACCACATTTCTTGCAAGACATCTTGCAGTTGACGTGCATCCAGGTCGGGTTCTTGCCACACTCACCAATCTTGGCCCAGGTGTCACAGTACTGACTGTTGTCCACACATTTTTCTGCTCAGATATCGTAACATTGTTAATATTTCTCTAAATATTCACCTACAAACTATAAGACATTTTCAACGACTATAATAATTAAAAAAAATCGAAATTTAACTACAACTGATATGTAAATAATAGAATTTACGTTGTATTGAAACATGTAATTAGAATTTTAAATCAAATTTCTTTTCTAAATTTAATTTTAAGATGAAATTTTAAGAAAAATCAATGCAACGTGAACTTTCCTGTCCAGTGTGAAAGAAATCTTGAATGATTATAATAATGTTAAAAGGCACGTAAGTCCCACCGTCTATTAATATCATGTAAATTTGTCCACTATAATTTACCTTGTCCATAATTATTATCGTAGATGAATGGTTCAGGGAACCGACATGTGTTGAATTAGACACATGTGCAACTCTTGGGTATCTTTATTGAGGAAACGTTTCTCCACACAGTGGCTTCATCAGTCTATACAAAGGAGAAACTTGAAGAACAGGAGGAGAATGAGGTAATCAGTCCCTCAGCCTAGAGTCGATGTGGTCAGTCCATCAATCTTAAATGGACATCAAGATTGATGGACTGACCACATCGACTCTAGGCTGAGGGACTGATTACCTCATTCTCCTCCTGTTCTTCAAGTTTCTCCTTTGTATGGACTGATGAAGCCACTGTGTGGCGAAACCTTTCCTCAATAAAGTACCCAAGAGTTGCACATGTGTCTAATTCAACAATTATTATCGTATTTCCTTCGTCTGTTTCGTAAGGTGAAGTCCAGGATCTTTCTTTAATTCATGGTATAAGTTAACAAATCTTTGATGACTTCACTTATGACACAGACGAAGCAAAAGCGATAGTAGTTATGGACAATTTGATTATAGTGGGAGAATTAACATGTTATTGGAAGATGAGGAACTTACGTGCTCCTTAAATCTCTCTGAGAAAAGTTATATGTATCGGGTTGCTGACCCACCTGATAAGGTATGCAGTCCCATTACTAAGGGTTGAAACCCCTTTGTTAAGAATTACTGACCCCCTTGATAATTGCAGCTGTCTTAACTATGGTGTTGCAGACTACCTCAGGGGACTGCATCTTACCAACTACGGGTTGCAGACACCTTGTACCTTTCTATGGACTGAAGACCAATTTACTAGGGGTTAGACCCTATTAATAAGGGTTATAGACCCTGTTACTATAAGTTGTTGATCCCATTACTATGGTATTAAAGAACCCATTACCAGGGCGATGGACGGGGTACTTACCAGGTGATGGAGGGGTGCTTATCAGGTGATGTAGGAAGTACTTACCAGGTGATAGAGGGGGTATTTACCAGGTGATGGAGGTGGGACTTACCAGGTGATGGAGGGGTACTTACCAGGTGATGGAGGGGAGATAGGTGACACTGTCACTACTGGAGTGGTGCTGGTATTGGCACAGTTGTACAGCAGCTGTAGCTTCAAGATGTCTTTCTGTGATGGTGGTAGTGGTGTTAGTGTTGCTGTTGCTACTACCACCACTACTACTACTACCACCACTATTTCTACTCTTACTATTACTGTTACTACTACTGTAATAACAGCAACAACAGCACCTACTACTATTACTGTTACTACTAGTACTACTACAACTACTGCCAATGTTGCTGCTACTCATAATACTAATAGAAATAATAATAATAATAATAATAATAATAATAATAATAATAATAATAATAATAATAATAATAATAATAATAATAATAATAATAATATTTTTAACGCACTAACCGTCTGGCACCAAGGCAGTTCAAATGACAGTACAAATGACCCCGTCCTTCAGAGTGCAGGCACTGTACTTCTCACCTCCAGGACTCAAGCCCAGCTAACCGGTTTCCCTGAATCTCTTCACAAATGTTACCTTGCTCACACTCTAACAGTACAACAAATCTTGAAAGCCACTTCTCTCTACTCATTCCTGTCTAAAATGCTCAAACACGCTTGTTGGATGTCCAAGCTTATAGCACACAAAACCTCCTTTACCCCTTTTCTCCAGCCTTTTCTAGGACGACCCCTACCCCGCCTTCCTTTGCCCCATCCTCTATATTTTCAAACAACCTCAACAACCCTTCCTCAACCCCACCAATAATATTGGTGGTATAAATCTTGGTAATAAATTCCGACAAGTTGGTTTAGAAAAACACGTAAGCAAACACTAGGACATATTAGAAAACGTTCGTTCCTGGGACCTTGAATACTTCTAACATACAGAGGTTAAAAGAGAGTATATATAGGTGGAGAGTGAGGTGTGAGTGATGCATGTTGACCTGAAGAATGACATATTGGGATGAGAACGGGTAGAATACGTGATCATGTGACTCCTGTGTTGTTAGGGAGGTGAAGCTTTGCCTGGTTGACTATCATGTATGCTAATGTTGTAGAAATTTTGTGTTTTGCAGTATTATGTTTAATAGTAAACAAACCATACCACGGGTGGGGATAGAACCCGCGATCAGAGAGTCTCAAAACTCCAGACCGTCGCGTTAGTTTTGAGACTCTCTGATCGCGGGTTCTATCCCCTCCCGTGGTATGGTTTGTTTGCAATCGTGTCATTACGATTTCGTGAGTTATGTTCCATTGTGTCGGTACCGGCGATTAGCGAGGCTTCCAGACATCGTCGGCCTCTGAGATCTTGTCCGGTGAGGACGAGTTGTGCCTCATCCCAATTCATCAAATGTCCCGTAGAGTCCCTGTGGAGGACACAGGCAAAACAGCAACAGAGAGGACTTTAAGGTACACCTGTGTCCTCCACAGGGACTCTACGGGACATTTGATGAGTTGGGATGAGGCATAGCTCGTCCTCACCGAACAAGATCTCAGACGCCGACGATGTCTGGAAGCCTCGCTAATCACCGTTACCGACACACTGGAACATAATACTGCAAGACACAAAATTTCTACAACGTTAGCATACATGAGAGTCAATACAAATTCTAAGACATAATTTGAAGACAGTAGAACTATATACAAAAGATGAGGTAATCAGTCCCTCAGCCTCACTAAGGTCTGCTGCACACTCTGACTATGCATTCTTAAATCTACTCTATACCCTTTTGGCCTGATGCTCATTATCTGTACTCTCTCTCTAGCCCATCTTACTCCCAATAGTTGCTTATATTTCCTTTAATTTGTAAACTTTCACCTCTCGCTTACTGATGACATTCTCCTTGTACTTCATGTACCTCTTACTCTCACTGTAGCTACAATTAAATAATGATTAATATATGTGTCGCCCCAGCTGTTAAACATCCACATCAATAAGTCTACCCATCAACCTTTTATCCACTCTCAAACTGCTGTCTTTACGCTCTATTTTATATCTCGTATACTTTATCCCATTTTTACTTCAAGTCCATATTACCTATTACCAGATTTCATTCTGTTTATAGTTCACTTAGAGGTCCCATTATCATTTACCCCGTGATACCGCAAACTTACCTACTTCTTCCTCTGTTACTGTTTCTCCTACTTTAGCATTTAGGTTCCCCACCACAGTTATTTTCTCACTTGTAAAACTCTCTTAATACTGGCTCATCGCCTCCCAAAAAACCTCTCTCTCGTCTCTACACTCCTCGCTTCCCCAAGTGTATGAACAATTAGTATTACCCACTTCTCTCATCCCACCTTTATTTTAATCCACAATAATAATAATAATAATAATAATAATAATAATAATAATAATAATAATAATAATAATAATAATAATAATAATATCTTACATCTGAGAAAGCTCTTCGTTGACCAATGTCCGTGCCTGCTCGTCTGGGTATGATGGTGGGCTTGGTGCGGTCCTTGGCGAAGGCATATGGTCCGTAGTGCATGATGGAACCTGCAAATATTGAATGTTCGAATATTGTTTAGTGGACAGTAGCTTTTATTAACGTCTTTTTTGTCTTCATTTAACAAGACCGTTTGCACAAACAATGTGTTTACTGCCTCATGTGACAGTGGGAATGAAAATAAGCTCTTCTTCCCTGCCATATTTCATCACTGGTTTGTGGTTAGAAGGGAGTTAGAGGTGTCCTGTGGCTCGGTTGGTAGCGCACTCAACTCACATACTGAGTTTCTGTGGTTCGGTTCTCGGCCGGGTGGAAACGTTGGGCATGTTTCCTTACACCTGCTGTCCCTGTTCACCTAATAGTAATTAGGTACCTGAATGTTAGTCGACTGTTGTGTGAGGCATCCTGGGGGTATTAGTATAATACCCTAGATAGAGTTGGGCTTTGAAATGAGCTAAGTGAAGTAGGATAACAAGTTTTAGCTTTTATAACTGATCCGTGTATAAAAATACGCTGGAACTCTTGGTAAAGAGGACTTCTCACCTACTTACTACCAATGACTCAGCTCTCGGGTATGACCTACTTCCACTGGGGAATCCCTTCTACCAGTGTCAATGCCTTCATCTGGTGCATCTCATCTGACTCCCGTATATAAGCCCACTTCCTCCTGCCTGTGCGTCACATTCATCAATCCTACGGTACTGAACACCTGCTCGTAGGCTGAGGGACTGATTACTTCATCTTCTTCCTCTTCAGTCTTCTATTTTTGTCCCTGCATTGTATTGATAAAACCACCGGTGGGCGAAACGTCTACATAATAAAGATACCTAGTTGTTGAACATGGGTGTGATACTTCGTTAAGTAGTTACACAGGAGCGTTATTATAATAAGGTATCCGCCAGGTAGGAAGTTCTGACGCGGGTGTTTGCCAGGTGGAGACACGTCACTGTCTCACCAGGGAGTGTCGGTGTTTGTACAAGTGATGTATTGTTTACAACCCTATGGTAGGGGCAACCCTATGACAAGGACACGGTGAGTAGCAAGAAGGAAAGTGAACCGGAATATATACGAGATGGGAGCGTTGCTGGGAGTAGTGTAAGCAGAGAGAATAGTCTTATAGTGGAAGTATTGGTGGTGGTTGTGATAGTAGCATCAGTAGTAGTAGAAAAAATAATGCAACAGTGGTAGAGGTGGCAATAAGAAGGTAACAGTGTTAGTGAAACAAGAGTCAGAGGACGGAGTCTTAGCGAAGAAACTGTAGTAGTAGTGATAGTGGCGGAAGTCTAAGTACCAGAGAAAGGAGGAGCACTGCAGGAAAGCTAATCGTTCTCGAGAGAAGGACTCTATCCCAACGGGACAAAACCCCATTGGAGAGAACCCACCTAGTCAAGAGACTGGAAAGACAATGAAAATATAGAAACGGAGAAGAGGTAAAGAGAGGAGGAGATAAAGATCAGGTCAAGTTACGAATGTGGTGAAGTTTGGAGTATATGACAATGTAATGAGAAAGGAAGACATCTGCAGAGACAAAGCCAAGACTAAGATTCATATGAGGAAAGTTGAGTATAAAGGATGTTTCAACAAAATGGCGTCTGTAGACAGCTTTGGCAGAGGACTAATCAACAGGATGACTGTGATATCTAACACTACAGAAAAGAGCATTAGTGTTGGCAAGTCTAACACTTCTTCCGTAATCCTTGAGACTGTCAGAAAGATAACAATTAGTTTCTCCAAGATACTGGAGAGGACAAGAGGAGAAGGAAATGGAAAAGACTCCAGAAGCATCAGTGGCTAACTCACCCAGATCATAGTCGACTCCCAGACTCTGTATCTTCTGCCACGAATACTTCTCAAAGTTATACTGCATGCCAGTCTGAATGTTGTACGTGTTGATGGTGATGTAGTTATCTCTGTCCCACCGTGACTGCTCGTGCCAGAAGCCGGAAGCATGCATAAACTCGTGCATGACAATACCCACGTACAAACAGCCAGGTCCCAAGGACACGGCTTGCGCCCCATGGTGACGACCCACGGAACTTGAACACCTGCAGGCACATACCCATCTCTCTTACTTATACTGCATGAAGAAATTAGATACTCTGTTACTGTAGTTTGACAGGAGGTTAAATAGGAAGGGGATCAGGTGCTTCTATTGATGGTTTCTCATGAATACCGTTACCACTACAGTAGTTATGTAGAACTGAAAGATAATATTTATTCTGTTTTAGCTCGGGCCTCCATTATGTGTATTTACATTGCTACTACTACTACTACTACTACTATTACTACTACTACCACCATTATTACTATTACCATTACTCCTATCACTATTTCTACTACTATTACTACTAATAATATTGGTTAATAATAATAAAAATAATAATAATAATAATGATAATAATGATAAAGACAATAATAATAATAATAATAATAATAATAATAATAATAATAATAAATAATTAATAATAATAATAATAATAATAATAATAATACCTTCCGTAACATTTTATTTTAAAATTAATCTTACAAGCAGTGTGCTTTTCCATATTTAAAGTCATATCTGCACTGTCTCTATTATTAATTTCAACATTGACAAACAACAGTGACAGCAGTGGTGTCAGAGCCAAGACAAACACCAACATATACGAGGGGAAGACAGTGAGGGGTGCACTGAGGAGTCTGTGGAGGAAAAGAACATTATCTGTAGAAGCAAAGAGGGAATGTTTGAGAGTGTAGTGGTACCAACGATCTTATATGGGTGGAGAATGTTGCAACAAGGAGAAGGGTGGAGGCAGTGGAGATGTCGGTCTAGGGCAATGGGGGGGGGGGGGGGATTAGGATCTGTTGAAAGGATGTCCCCGAGGGGTAGGAGGTTTTTAGGGGTTTAAAATTTAGGTGTAAATTGAATAAGGGGATGGGTTGGGGGTGTTTCCCCCAAAAGAGGTTTTTGGGGGGGGGTTTAGGTTTTTTTGTGCGGCGGCTTAGACTCCAGCAAGGGGGCGTAAAGTTTTGATAGGGGCAAGGGAGGCAAAGGTTTTCATGTTTGATGTGGGGTTGGAGTGTTAACAAGGATCATTTTTGAAATGATTCAGGAAACCCTTTTGCCGACTTTTAATCCTGGAGGTAAGAAATACAGTCCCCCTCTCTGAAAAAGGTGGAGAATGTTGCAGGGTTTTTAAAATGCATGTCGCACGCCCCTGTAAGACAGGATGGAGTGAATGATGGTGAAAGGTTTTTTTATTTTTTGGTCACCCTGCTTGGTGGGAGACGGTCGATGTGTTTATTAAATATATATATATATATATATATATATATATATATATATATATATATTATATATATATATATATAAACTTGTATGTATACTCACCCGTCACCCTTTATAATGTGTATGTAGTCTCTCTCCACTGTTCTGGGCACGAACCGAATACAGGTTGTGGAATGGTACTTGCTGACAGCCATGGCGATGGTAGCTCTCTCCTGCTTATCTGCGGGAATGGTAGTTGTGGTTGTGTGGTGGAAGTGACGGTAGGGGGAGTAATAATGGTAGGTGTAAATATGGTGGTGGTGGTAGTAGGGCAATGGTAGTGGTAGGGGCAATGGTACTTCTGGATGCAAATATGGTAGTGGTAATTGTAGGGCAATAGCAAGGATGATGGTAATGACAGTAATGGTGGTGATGGTGCAGTGTAGGTGATTATGGTGGTGGTGGATGTAAGTGTAGCGGTGCTAGGGAAAATAGTAAGTGCAGTTACGAGAGTGGTGGTAGTGGTGGTGGTGGTGATGGTGGTGATGGTAGTGGTGGTGTTAGTGGTGGTGGTGATGGTAGTGGTGGTGGTAGTGGCACAAGGGTTTTACAAGGTTAGGTTAAAAGTTCCTACCTTTATTTACAAGCAAAGAACTGTTACCTACCTCAGCTCATATGAAAGCCTTTTTCTTATGAAACATATAAACAGGCAGCAGGATGAAGTTGGAACCATCTGTGGGCCAGTGATTATATTTGGTCAACTGGCTTTATTTCATCGGTGTTGTCATGCTGAATGAACGTGTTTCACACTCGAGTCATTCTATAAATGAATGATCTCAAACAGAGTGTAGTTAGCTGTTGGCTGCTCGTCTTATGGTATAGACGCTGACTTCTCACTGCTCAAGAAGTGGAGCCAAGTGTGGTATCAGGACAATGTTGACCTTGTACATGACATATATCTGATGATGAATTATCTGTTGTAATAATTCAATCCGATGAGACAGGGAACAGGAAGTTCAGGAAAGTGGAGCATAATCAAGGTGTGAGCTCATTTGTGCCTCATGCTGCGCCTCTACTATCGAACAGGTACCAGATATAAGAACATAAGAATATAAGAAAGAAGGAACACTGCAATAGGCCTACTGGCCTATGCGAGGCAGGTCTAGTTCTCCTACCGGCTTGAGCCAATGCCTTGACCTAGTGAAGTCAGACACGTCACTTAGGGAGGAGCACGCATCCGAACTAGTAGCACAAGCTAGTCGGGTCCAACTCACGCCCACCCACACAACACTCATGTATTTATTCAACCTATTTTTAAAACTACACAACGTCTTTGCGTCTATGACGGTACTCGGGAGTTTGTTCCACTTATCCTCGACTCTATTACCGAACCAGTGCTTTAACATTTATTCCTGAATCTGAATTTTTCCAGTTTAAAGCCATTGGTGCGAGTCCTGTCTATGTTAGATATTTTTAGCACGCTGTTTACGCCCCTTTTATTAATTTCTGTTTTCCATTTATACACCTCACTCATATACTTCCTAATTCTACGCCTTTCTAGAGAGTGCAGATTCAGGGCCCTCAGTCTATCCTCATAGGGAAGATTTCTGATACATGGGATCAACTCTGTCATCCTCCTTTGTACGTTTTCCAGTAGCATTTATATCCATTCTGTAATACGGTGACCAAAACTGTGCAGCATAATCTAAATGAGGCCTAACCAAGAATATATAGAGTTGAAGAACAACCTGAGGACTTCTATTATTTATACTTCTTGCTATGAAGCAACCTTCTTGCCCACCTTACTTTACAGATTTACAATATAATTCTTCATAGACATTTTGCAGTCAAATTTCACCCCTAGAAAATCCACCTCACCCCTTGTTCCAACACTTTTCCATTCATTCTCATCACAGCTCTGGTATTAATTTCATGCTGCCTAGACATCATCATCATGAGTTTTCTCTGGAGCAAATATAACCAGACATCGTTTACCCCAGGCTGATAAAGCTGTAAGCTGGTGATGTAGCTGAAAGCAGCTGGCATTTCCTCTCTTGGATAAGTATATGTCAGCGTACAGTTGTCTGCACAAGCATGGGATTCTGGAATGAGATGATGGAGGTCACTGAAGTAGACATTCCATAACAATGGCCAAAGCACACTTCCCAGTGGAACACTGGCAGCAATAGAGTATCTTGTTGACTCTGTCCCATCGAGAAGTAATCCACTACTCTTTTAGATCTACTTTGAAGGTAATCACTGAGGAGGTATAGTGCAGAGCCAGCAACTCCTAGTGTCTCCAGATTTACCAAGAGTCCTCGGTGCCATTGGTGACTCATAGCGGAGAAGTTTAACAGCAGATCACCAACAGAACAGCAATTCTCTCCCATCCTCTCTCTCTCTCTCTCTCTCTCTCTCTCTCTCTCTCTCTCTCACATACACACTTTTCTCTCTCTCTACTTACTGTAAGAGGAAGATATAACGTAGGGAATAACACCATTGGGCCACCGTCTATCTATCTCATTGACGGCATTCCTTGCTTGTGGCGCCTCAGCAGGCTGTAAGAAAATGTCATTTTAAACTTTATATCTGCAAGAACGCGTCATGTTAGTGTTTCATGTTAGTGTTAAATATTGTGATAAACGCAGTAGTACCAAAGTAGGTCAATTCATATATTCCACATCTGGTCACACTAACTATGGATCACCATGGACGCAGCAGTTAAGTAATGACGGCTCAGTCTCCAGCTTCCCCAGAGGTAAATACTCTCAATTAATAGCTATTTTTTCCTGGATTATTTTGACTGCTGACGGCAAAAAAAACTCGATAGTTTAAGAAT